GCTCACAGCCAAAGTCCTAACACCCATCCAGTGACGCACAGACACACATCAGCGTAGTCGGCAATGCCCTTCAGAAACAGCAGGTGATGGCACACCTCTCACAGCCTCTCTGCCCGTCCCTGCCAGGGCCCGGTTCCCCCTGCAGTGGCGGTGACTGACATGTCAACCCCTCAACGGGACAGGATGTGGCAGGATCGGCTCCTGTGTGACCCAGACAACCAGCAAGAGTGGCTTCGGGATGCTCAGAGCGCTGTCGTCAGCATAATCTGACTTGGGGAGCAACGCATGACCCAGCTGCACAAGAAGACACGCTTCCCTTCATGCCTTTCTGCGTGCCCCCGAGGCCAGGGCCTCTCTGGCTGCCTCCTCCCCGGGAAGCACAAGGCCTACGCCGACCAAGCACTGTGGGATCGATCTGCTGGCTGCACGCAGACCTTCACGGACGCCCACTGTTCCGATTGAATATACAGATACAGCGTAAAGGCACGGCGGCCCACACCTTCGCTAGTGAGTGCTCCAAAGCAATCCTGAAACATCTCCTGCAGCTCATGAGAGATCAGAATAATGATACAAAAACTTGGAATTTTTCTTAAAACCTATTATGTGTTGGCCAAAAAAACAAAGTATTCAGTATTAAAAAAAAACTGATGATGATCTAGGGACCAAAAAACATAGAGGCCACAGCACCAAGGTCTGGGTAAAGGTGCCAGTGTGCGCTAAGGCGAGTGCCAGCAGGCTGGCCCTCTGCCCAGGCTGACAGAAGACTCCTGGGGACACTTGGAGGCAGTCCTCCAGCTGCTGTGGGCACACGGGTTCGTTCAGCAAGCAGCTCTGAGCTGCTCCTTTGTTCCAGACTGTGAGCGACGCACCGGGGGGCACCCCAGACCTCAGGAATGTCCTGGCAACAACGACAGCTCTACTCAGGATGATACCGCTGCTGTCCGGTTTGGAAAAGCGGGGCCAAGAAGCCATTCATCATTCCCGGATGAAGAAGAGCTATGGGGATAGCCTGCAACATCACATACCACTCCTGACAACAGCGGGGAAAGGTAACAGCCACTTGAGTTCAGATGGGCACCAGAGCCTGGCTGGCGTGGCTCGGTGGTTGAGCGTCAACCCATGAATCAGGAGGTCACGGTCTGATTCCTGGTCAAGGGCACATGTTTGGGTTGCAGGCTCGATCCCCAGTGTGGGGCATGCAGGAGGCAGCCGATCTATCATTCTCTCCAATTCTCTCTCTCAAACATCAATCATTGATGTTTCTCTCACTCACCCTCTCCCTTCCTCTCTGAAATCAATAAAAATATATTTTAAAAAATAAAGAGCAGGAGAATGGAGTCCCTGGCTTATCTGCCTGGCTCCTCCCTCACCGCCCCCCCCCCCCGCCCTCAACATCCCTCAAGACTAAGTCACTGAGCCTTCCTCCTCCTCACTTGCCTTCTACAATCCATTTCCTGCTGTTGGTAACCTTTCTTCCTCCTCCTCGTCCTGACCCATCTTTCACTTTCTCTTATTTCTAACAAGTTTTAGTCCTCCCTTATTTCTAACAACTTAAAAAAAAAGTGGGACCAGAATGCAGAATTGTTTTTAAACTGAAAGGGACTCTAAGGATACCTAGTACAACCTCTCAATGTCTTGGATGAGAAATCTGACCACTGGAAAGCTTAGCTGACTGGGCCAGGGTCACCGGGTCACTCGAAGGGGAGCCGGGATTCTGGCGGTCTTTCCACCCCTCCACACCCTACTTAACTCTCCCCGCGCTCGCGTCCTGCGCTCTCGGGCATGACCGGCTCCCTTGTGCTTCTGAGCTGAGCCTCGTGCAGCCCCTAAGCCCTGTCAGCTCTCCTGTTGGTGGTGGTTTCTGTAGGATTTAGCACCAAAAAGATTTGCACGGGTGTCGTCTGCGAGTGAGCATCGCGAGGAGAAGGGGACCGCTCAGCCTGAGCCGGGAGGACCAGGGGCCTTGCGAGGCTCGGGGAGCCTCGTCCGGGGTGATTTGTGCGTGATCTCTGCTGAGCGGAGGGGGCGGCAAGTCCTTGTCTCGTCGCTAAAGGGGCTCAGCGAGCCTCCAAATCCCACTCCCAGGTCAGGGCTGCGATCCGAGGGCAGCACGGGGGTCAAGTCCAAAGTAAGGACCTGGAGTGACCCTGGGCTGTGGCACCCGGGTGGGCACCCAGCTGCAGGCCGCTCATGCCCGGTCCAGGAGGGGGCCTGGCCGGGGCGAACAGGAGCAGCCGGCAGCCGGCAGGAGGCAGCTCACACGAGGCTACAGCCTCGCAGCCCCGCGGGCACGGCCTGTCGGGCTGCGGATGTCGGGATGCAGTGGCCTGCTGTGGCCCTGTGGGCCGAAGGGGGGTTGTTTCAAGACTCATTCAACCACAGTAGGCGCTTTAAAAATAAATAAGTGAATAAATAGGGGAATCTGTGCCAGTGCTTTTTGGGCGCGTAGAGAGGCTGGGAGAGATGCATCCTGGGCCTGAAATAGCCCCGGGCACCTGGGCCTCGGGATCGCTCGCAGTGATGAAGGTGGGAGGGAGAGAGGGCGTCCCTTTGGAGCCCAGCCCTGCCCAGGCCGATGGACCCTCAGAGGCAGTTGCCCCCTCCCCCCCCCCACCCCCATCAAGGCCTGGGAGAGCCGTCCTGGAACTCCAAGAGGGACTGAGGAAAATGCCACAGTGACAGCGCTTAGAATCCAATGGTTTAAGAGGTATATGGGGCCAGAGGTCAGCAAGCACACCCTCCTCCTGCAGGTGGGGAAACTGAGTCACGGCACGATGAGTCCACGCCCTGTCTCGCTACAGGAGGAGTACGCATGCCCCTCCCCATCCAGAGCCCCCCAGCCCCCTCCATCCCCAGCGCTCTCCCCACCTCCTTCCTGATCCAAACCCCTGGATGGTTTCACTTGTCAAGGCTCACAGGCCACCATGTAAAGCAGACTCTACACAGCCCAGCAAGAGCAATAAGCGTGAGGCGCCCCCGGCCCCCTGGCCCCCTGCCCCCTGTCCGCCACCCTTTCTCTTCTGCTCTCATGACAGGCAGCTGACACTTTCCCTTGGGCCCCGGTGACCCGGTCCAGGCACACGTCGCCCTGAGCCACCAGCCCGAACCCCGACTGCACCCTGCGTGCAGCCCCCCCAGCCCACAGCGCCCGAGGGCCTCCCGTGGAGGGGGGTCACTGCCACAGGACAGCAGGGGAGTCAATCCAAAGCGCTCCCCTCAGAAGCCCTCAGGGCTGGGCACCGGGCACCGAGAAAACCCCCGGCAAGCTCCAGCACGCCCCCCCCCCCCAGCCCAGCTGAGCAGCCCCTCCCCACCCCACAGCCGACAGTCCGAGCACAGCTCTTTTCTGTTAGAATACAAACACGTGTTGGTCTAAAAAAAGAAGGGAAATCACAAACACAGAAGTCAGTCCCGAGCTCCACACCGGGAGGCCCCCGCTGCAGGTGACCAGGCGCCCCGATGAGGACGGTCCCTCCGGCGGACAGTGCAGGGGCAGGCCAGAGGCCCCCGGAGGCCCCGATGGGCAGTGGCCAGTCGGTGAGGTGGATCTGTGCTTGGGGTGAGGTGGCCCGGAGGGGTGCACCCTGGCCTCCCCAGCAGGAGGCTCTGTGGGGCTGTGGTCCCAGCTCTGTGGCCCTCAGTCCTGGACAGCAGCAGCCGGGAGGGCAGGCAGGGGGAGCGGGCGCCGGCCCAGGCGTCTCCTTCTGTCTCTGAGCAGGGCTCGTCCTCATCAGGATGCGGGGCCTGCGGACTGGCCACGCACTGGCCTCTCCCAGAGGAGCCCCGCCCCCACCCACCCCCACAGCGATTTCTCAGCCCCTGGGCATCCACGGCAGCTCCCAGGGAGGCAGACGCATCAATCCTCCCAGGGCCCCGCACGCGAGGAGCATGCCAGGGCCTGTGCTGCGGGTTCACCACCGACTAGGGAGACGCCCAGGAGGTGGGGCCGGGAGGTGGGGCCAGGATCCGGGGGAAGCAGAAGACCCAGAGGGGTGCATCTTATCAGGACCGACAAGGACGAAGTCTCCCGCTGCTGAGACCCTCTGTATCCACGTGTGGAGACAACATGGGCACGTCCCCAACGCCCCGCAGGCCTGAGTGTGGGAAGCGGGACCCGGGAGTCCCTCGGGTGATGAAAGGCAGGACAGTGCCTCTAGGTGGGCCGGGGTCACAGCTCGCTCCTCGGTGGGCCTGTCAGTCCAGAAAGTCCGCCAGTTCTTGATGCTCCGAGGACAGACGACAGTTCCCTAGGGCGTGGGTTACACGGGAGACTCTGTGGCCGCCTGCATGTCCTTGTGTCCTTGTTGCTCTTTGCTCAGCGTGTGGGCACCATCGCCGGCTCCCGGAGGCATCGGGACGACACTTTCCAGTAGAAAAAGGGTCTTGGAAGAGACGAAGGTCCCCGGAAGAGGGAAGGCTTGGGGGCGTGGCCAGGGGAGACAGAGGCCCAGGTCGGGCGGGTCCTTGCTGAGCACGGCCGGTGCCATCCACGCAGGCGCCTGTGCAGGGCTGGAGGGCAGCCCCCCTGTGCAGAGGATCGGGGTCCGCCCAGCTCCTCCCAGCCCCCGTCTCTGTGCATCGTCCAGGTCTTCCGCCCCAAAAAGCCAGAGCCGAGGAGGCACGGGCCACAGCTTAAGTCAAAGGGAACTTGTGTCTGTGTTCGTCATGTTGACGATTTTCTGAGTTGTCGTTGCAGTCCTGTGGTTTCTGTGTTAGCAGCTTCTCTGGGGATTAGAGAAGGGATCTCTCTGTAGATATAGATAGATAGTAGGTATATAAATATATATATTATATATCTATATATATATATAGACGCCAACTGCCTTACAGGGTTTCTTCTTTCCGTTTTTCAGTGTCGTATGTGTAGCAGGCACTTGAGTTTATATGAAGATGTTCGCTTCAGTCAAGGGCGGGGAAGGGGCTGTGAGGTGGCGGGGGGGCGTGTGAGGCTGGAGAGAGGAGGCAACAGGCGAGACTCCGTGACCACGGCCGCCGCGGGCCTACCCGAGGATGTCCAGGTAGATGGGGGTGGCCTTCCCCAGCGCGTGGAGGATTTTGTAGATCTCCTTGATGTTGAGCCGCTGCTGCGGCTCCCGCTGCCAGCAGCCGAGCATCACGTCGTATACCTCTTTGGGGCAGACTCGGGGCCGCTCCAACACGCGGCCTTGGGTGATGCACTCAATGACCTGGAAGAGCGGGGAGAACGGGGGCGTTACATCGGAGCTCGGCCGGGCCCCCGCCGGAGGCCGCGGCTCCCCTGGTGGGTGCCGCGCAGGGCCCAGGACCCAAGGCACAGGCCGAGGGCGGGGCAGGGGACAGAGCAGAGGTTCTCGTGAGTCCTGTGTGTGCGGGTGACGAGGACAGGGACTGGCGTGGCATCGCCAGGGGTGCCCGCGGATGTTCCTGCTTCATTGCCCGGGAGTGGGACTGGCCTCTGACCTGCCCCTCCCCGTCTGATGAGCAGCCCGACTCTGAAACCCCTTGAGGGAGCCTGGGACCACCTGGCCCCTCCATGGCTGTCTCCCCCTGGGGTCCCATTTCCTGGGGAGCTCCCTCAGTCCCAGCCTCTGTGCCCCTCGCCACGAGTGCCTCCACGCCTCGGCGAGGCCCATGCTTCCTGCTCTCCGCACTAAACCACGTGTGCCATTTAATTTAAAGTCCCCAGCGCAAGGGGGTGCTCACAGGGCCCCGGTGGGCGGCCAGTGCATGCCTGACCTCACAGGAGCTCAGCATCCTCGCCTGCGAGATGGGCTCCACTGTCTGCTCTGACCGCCTCCTACCAGGGTTCTGGGGACCAAATGAGAACAAGAAGGGGGACCACATGGCCCCCATAACGCAGGGAAAGCCACAAAGAGGAGTCGGGGAACGCACAGCACGAAGGGCTGGCCCCACCCCAGCTGGGCATCTGGGGACCGAGCCTGGCATCTGTGGTGCATTTTCAAGTCCTCAAGGACCTTCTCTGCTGATGCTGAACATGTGAATCTTCAAGGTTTCACCTGCCACTTCTCAGGTGGTTCAACCTCTCTCACTACTAGCTCTACCGCCATCTAGCCTGGGGCACGGCACCTGCCCTGAGCTGCAGTTCCCTCACTTGAAGATAGGTGGCGCTGACAAAACACACACAAACCTCTCGGGGAGCGCCTGAAGCATCTGTCTTGATTTCTCCTTCTATCTCCCTATGGCCCCGTGTCACCCTGATGACCCTGGATGGCGTGCCAAGCCCTCGTACGTCTCCTTCTGGGTCGTGTCAACCCCAGAGTCTGCAATGGCTCACTTCTCGGCCATCCTGGTAGAACTTCGGTAGCTCACGTCCCTACTCTTACGAGAGCCATTTCCACCCACCATCACCTGCGACTCCAGGAAAAGGGACCCAGTTCAAAGTGCAGTAGCAGCCGCTAAGGCCAACGCCTATGCCCTCAGCCGTGTCTCTCGCCCCGCTCCCCAACTCCCCAGTGTGGGCTGACCGAGCTGTCAATCTCCGTAGAGAATCCGACTGCCAGTGACGGCTGCCCCCTGGCTGCCAGGGCCGGTGGGGAGGGACAGGTGATGGGGGTAAGACGCCTGCTTCAAGGCCGAGGCCTCACCGAGCAGTTGGAAAGGACCAGAGACACCCTGTTGGTACCAGGCCAGCCTGGATGTCCAGGGCATCTGCCGCCACTCAAACCCTCAGCCCAGGTTCTGTCTCTACGGGGCCACCAGACGACCCGAGCTGCGCTCAGGGCACATGTCTGTGCATGTGTGTGCAGGTGTGTGTGCACGTGTGCACGTGTGTGCCCACCACCAGTCCCACCCCCAGGAAGAAAGGAGCAATTTTTTAAAACATCATAACAAATGGGGTCTGACATACACACTTTTATTTTTTTTTAAAGGTCATTAAACTGTTTTGTCCTGTTTTAGAAAAGGCGTTCCGGACCCGTTCAGCTTATAAATGATAAGATGTCACTGAGTTAAGTGGCCAGGGCATAAGCAAGCGCAGATGAACACAGCTTCCAAGGAAAAGGTAATTTCTTGGATATTCGGATACGACTCCAATCTGAAAAGGCCCTTGTGTGCACGTTTCTCCGGAAAACAGAAGGCCATGGAGAGGAACGCCATCTCGCCTGGGTTTATTGCGTCGGGAGACGAAACCCCTCCTTGTCTACAAGCTGCACTGAATCCTGGGTCGGCCCGGCTCCAGGGCCAGCATAACAGAACGGCTTTGGGAGCAGAAGATCCTTGCGACCTTGGTCTGAGCCTCCCCCACGTTCTAGAAGCTCGCGCCTCTGAGACCCTGGCCAGGCCATCTCAGGACCCCACGCGACCCCCCTCCCTGCCTTTGTCCTGCGCCTCAACAGGTGTGTGTGTGGAAAGCACTGGGTCCATACATCTCGAAGGTGCTTGGACATTAAATGTGGTTTGTATTCTCTAGGATTTGTGTAAATTAGAAGCATCCCTGGTGTTTACTGTTATTGCGTTAACCGTTAGAGTTCCTCGTGTCCCATGAATAACGTGGGCTCTGCCCTCCTCCCTCACGGCTGGCGCTGCTCAGCCTGGCAGGCCCGGAGCCCTTGGGGACGCAGACGAGGGGGGCCTACGGAGGGGGGCGTCCCCACAAGATGGCACCATTGAAAACCTCGCAGTGCCTTTGTCATCCTTGTCTTTCTTGGCGAACAGCGGTGGTTTTTGAGAGCAGCAGAGCACAGAGAACCGTGACTTGCGTCTCAATTCGGAGATCTGATTTCATGCTCTTGGTAATTAGACCTCATTTCCTACAGCTATCGTTTCGTCCTACCAAGGAGCTCTCCCCCGCGCCTTCTTAGGCCTCCTGCTTCATGCCCTGCGTCTGAGTCCTGGCCTGAGCTCGCTCCTGTCAGCCTCACCGCCCCCCCGCCTCCCCCTCCCCCGCCGAGGCCCCCCGAGGCCCCTGTACCTCCGTGTTGGAGAGCTGGAACCAGGGCTGCTTGCCATAGGTGAAGATCTCCCAGAGGATAACCCCGAAGCTCCACACATCGCTCTCCGTGGTGAACTTCCGGTACATGATGCTCTCGGGGGGCATCCAGCGGATGGGGAGCATGGTGTGACCTCCGACCTGGCAGGGGTGGAGACAGAGGTGCACAGAGGTGAGCCGGCGGCCGGAGTCAGCCCCGTCTCCCTGCACGCTTCCCACGGAGAGGAGAGGCACCCGATGCATTTTATCCCAAGACAGACACCCCTTCGTGCAACTTGTCTCGGAGGCCAGCGCAGACCCTACGAGAGACCTGCAGCAGCGGAGGCGGCTAGAGGAGCCACGAGAGGGCTCACCTCCGGGGACGAAAGGCCCCTGGCTGGAGGGTAAGGAGAGATCGCAGATGATTTCGGGAGGAGAGACGGTGTCAGGATCTGGGGCTACGGGGCACCTAACCGTGAGAGGGAGTCCAGAGTCACTGAGCGAGGCATCAGGTATCGGAGCGTCTGCAGGCCTCGGGTTCGACTCCGTGGCCAAGGTGGTTAAGACACAATGTGGCCCCTGTGCATCTAATGTGCCTTTCATTTCCACACCACCACCCTGACGTTCTCTCACCACGACCTAGGACTCCGTGTTTCCAGGGAAGGGGATGGAGAAGTTCAAAAGCATGGAAGACCACACGCTAACGAGAAACCACGGGGCCACAAGAGAAGGCACAGCAGGTCTCAGCAAGAGCTCACAGGCCAGTGAGGGGAAACTCAAAACCGCCTGAGGAGGACATGAGCCATGGGGGGGAGGGGGCAGGCCTACGGATCTGAGAGTCCAGGGCAAGAGGATGGGACTGAAATTGGGGTGCCCCTGGGAAAAACATTAGGGGGACCCTCACCGCCCCGCAGGTTGCTGGCATCAGCATAAGTGAAGTAACAGTCACAGGCTGTTGTAGAACTCGGGGACTAAGTGCATCATTAGTAAAGGCAGCCCCAGCGATGGGAACTTCCGGCTGATCCATGGGATTTGTTGTTAGGAAACTGATTACCGCCGATAGAAAGAGCTCTCTGTGAATTCCTGATGAACTATTCATCAGAAGAGGCACTGCCAGCCTAGATCGGTTGGAGGAATCCTAATAATGAGCATTTAAGGAAGGATGACTTCTGGAGGAGAGGGGCAATCTCGCTTCTCCAAAGAGAAATCACGTTTGCCTGGCCCACTTGACGTAATTGAGAAGATAAACGATGATATGGATTTGCAGAAGTTGTTTTCGGCCTGGGATTTTATAATCAAGACAGCTCCGTATCAAGTGTAAAGACAGAAGGTGATGGAGCTCTCAGACAAGCCAAGACTCAGAAACTTGACCCCTCACAGCCTTTACGGGAAATGAAGAAGCAAAAATTAATTGAGGCTGTACTACAGGAAAACAGAAAAGAGATGTTAGAATATACACCGACTTGGGATATAACAAACAGTGCAAAGCAAATAAGCCACACAAATGCAATTTAAATCTAAGTAATGGCTGCTAATTTGGTAGCAAAATGGGGTGCAACTACTAATAAAGGCTTCTATTAAACAAAGCCATAAAGTAAATAATAATACTAATAATGCTAACAGTGTTACCACTGCCACTATTAGCAATACTTATTTGGAATGAAACTTCTAGATAATTTCAGCCATAAGTGCATAGCAAATGAGGTAGAGAGATAATTAAAAGCCTGATAAAGTCTTTGTCCTTACAAGGGACCGAAAGGGAGATCACAGACAGTCATCAGCTGTTGATTATAATGACTTAAATTTAAATGAGCTTGCTACAATTTTAAAGTAGCTTCTAGAAGAATAGATATAGAACATATAGCTTCCAAATCAGTTTTAGGAAAATAGGACCAAAAAACCTCTAATTAATAACAAAATCAGTACACAAAGGAATGGGATAATGGTGAGTAGAAAGCACAAAATAAAAAAGTTTAAGGAATGTCACTATAGACAGTAAGTACAAATACTATCTGTTAAGTAAGAAAAAAGTATATTAAAAATCAAATGCATGTTCTTTATAAAAAGCATATCTAAAAGGAAATATCAGAAAATATTAAAGATGAAAGAATGCAAAAATATGAGAAACAATAAAAGAAAATATGAATATATGTTGACTATAGACTATTCCATGTACATGATAATATATATATTAAATAGATAATATATTGAAATTAAATATATACATGAAAAATTTCAGGATGCCAAGAACTATATGGCAACAAAGTGATTTATAGCATATTTAAAGATGGTAAATTCACCATTATGATAATTATAAAGTTTTATGGTCCAATTAAGATAGCAACAAAAATGTATAAAGAGTAAAACAGGTTATAAATAAAAGGGAACTGACACCTATAATTAGGATGGGAAAATAAAACACTCTTCCACAAATTAACAGATCAGGAAGACAATGTAAGTGGAGATGCGTTTTTAAAATACAAATAAGGAGTTGTCACTGTTAGATGTGAGTGTCTTCAGGACCCCTAAGAGGTTGCATATTATTCTCAATTATCTAAAAATCATTTACAAACACCAATCACTATGTTATACCTCAAAGGAAATCTAAAATTCCAAGGGGGAAAAAAAGGTAAATAAACTAAAAGTAAGAAACATTTACTGTACCAAATAAAATATAATAGGAATGAAGAACAAAAGGTTAATTTTTTTAAAAGGTTCTCTTTGGTCGATTAAAAAGAGTACCATTTGGTAAAGAAAACAATTGAAAATAAAATTTAAAACTGTCATAATAATAATTACAGTCCTATTAATTGAGAGCTATGAAATATAGCTAAAGTAATTTTGGGGGAAAACTTATAGCACTTAAGCACTTATTTCTAAAATAATTTAAAGTAGATTTTAATTAAATAAGAATTCTATTTTAAAAAGGTAGCAAAGATATACAAGGCAAATTTATAGAAAGCAAGAAAAAATAAATAATAAAGATATATGAGGAATTAGTACAAAACAAATCAAATAAACAATCAAAAGGGCAGAGGGAAGCAGACTACTAGTATATCTACATAATCAATTGTTAGTTCTTTCAAAAGTAATATAAACCTTTTGCAAGGTTAATACGGACACAAAGGACACAATGAAAAAATGTTAAGAACATTGTAACAATAAAATTTGAAGTATAAATGCCATGATTGAGTTAATACTCGAAAATATTAATTTTAAAAAAGGTAAGAAAAATAAAAACTTAAATACAAAACCAATTACAATTGTAGAAAAAAAATAAGCTATACATTAAAAGTATGGACCAGGACCAGATGGTCTTATGGGTGAGTTCTACTAAAGTTTTCTATCCTATTGATACTTTTCCAAACCAAAACCAAAACAGGAAGTAAAAGAAACTGCCCCAGCCACACACTGGCTTGAATTCCCTGTTGACCCAATCAATGAAGCTTAGCAAGCAGCGTTAACATATGAATACAGACACTGTCTAGGTGACTTACCTACATATGTGTAAAACATCTCTGTTATGAACATAGTCTCAAAACCTGAATAAAATAGTATCTTATCGAATCAGCAATAGGTTATAATAATTCCACATTATAACTCAACACGTTTTATGTACTAGAAATAAAAGAATGCCTTGGTCTTTTAAAAAAATATCTGTTTAATTTACTAAAGTAAAAGGAGAAAAACTATCCTTTTCCAACACCTTTCCTGATTCAAAGCTCTAGTTCATTACTAATAGAAGGTCATGTCCTCTATGTAACACACTAAAGATCATATTTACTAATGACACATTAGAACCGTACAGGTATCGTCTACCACTGATTTTATCAACACTGTTCGGGTGAGGTACTAGCCAATGTGATAAAGCAGAATTAAAACAAGGTAGAATATTTAAAAGGCAGAGTCAAGCCCTAGCCGGTTTGGCTCAGGGGATAGAGCATCGGCCTGTGGACTGAAGGGTCCCAGGTTCCATTCCAGTCAGGGGCACATGCCTGGGTTGTGGGCTTGATCCCCAGTAGGGGGCGTGCAGGAGGCAGCCAATCCATGAGTCTCTCTCATCATTGATGTTTTGATCTCTCTCTCCCTCTCCCTTCCTCTTTGAAATCAATAATATATATATATATATTTTTTTTTTTAAAAGGCAGAGTCAAAACTGCCTTTGTCTGCATATGATATGATTGTTCAAGACGATTCATTAAAAAGCAATCAGAACAATTAGATGCTTTAATAAACTACCCAGGAGTAAAATGAACATCCAAAAATGAAACCATTCTCATATACACCGATAGCAAGGACTTACTTCACAATTCAGTAGAAAATGAGATTGTTTGTAACAATAGCAACAGGACATTTAAAATTCCTAGGCTTAAACCTTAGCAGAAAATATAGAAGGTCTAGCTAAAGAGAAGTATTGAAAAACATAAAAGAAGGCTTACACAATTAGAGAGACATGTCTTTTCCTGGGATAGGAAGACTCGGTATCACACATCTCCTAAATCTCCCAGGCCTCACTCAAATTAATCTAAAAATTCAACACAATCCAAATAAAAGCCCCAATGGAATGATGTGTGGGGATTGACACAATGATCGCAAAAGCCGTCTAGAGGAGCAAATGCCTGGTAAAAACTAGGATACACTTGAAATAGAACAACAAGGGATACTTGCTTGGTCAGATAGCAGAACATATTATCAAACTACAGCAATGCGTACACTGTGTTATAGGCGTAGGAACAGACAAATTCCATTGATCAATGGAACAAAATAGAGTCTAGAAGTAGACCCGTGGGTAACTATTGGCATCAAATATATGAAATGATGGGTTAGTAAGCAAAGCATTGGGACAATGAACTGTTCATTGAAAAAGTACACATAGATACCTACCTCACACCATATACAAAAATCATTTCCAGATGGATTAAAGAGCTAAACATAAAAAAAACAAAACAATAATAATATTAGAAGAAAACTCAAGAAAAATATTTGTATAACTTTAGGAGAGGAAGACCTTCCTAAATAAGACACATGTTCAAGAAGCCATAAAGACTAGGACTTAGAGATACAACTTGGAAAAGTAAATACTTTTTTGCATGGCAACAATACAAAATACACATAGCTAAAAGACACATGGCAGAGAAAATATCTGCAATATATACATATAACAGACAGAGAATTACAATCCATGTATTATAAAGCGGTCCTTTAAATTAGTTTAAGAAAGCAACCCAGTGGAAAAATGAGGAAAGAGTGAGAGCAGACGACCCACAAAAAAGCTACAAATGGCCACGGACACATGAGGAGATGCCAATCGCAGCAACAGAGACACATTTTTTTTAATGTCACGCGAGGAAAATGGAAAAGACCGATAGATACTATCTGGTGCTGGAGAGGGTGTGCGGAAAGGGTGACTCTCTAATGCCATGGCTCAGGGTAAGGCGGCCTTTTCCGAGGGACCTGCAGCAGAATCTGCCCACAGTGGGGATGTAAGTGGCCTCTGAACCAGCGATTTCATTTCTAAGAGTCTTACAAAAATACTTGCTCCTGGAAGCAAGAATCCTTGGTTGAAGATGGTTATTTCATTGTTTGTGAGGGCAACACGTTGTCACTAAATGTAGATGCGGTAGTTAAAAGGAATATCGTGTGGTGATGGGGAATATGCCTAGATGTGACATGAAAACTCCAGACATCCAAAATCTGTATCAGCATTTTCATTCATGTAAAAATACGTGCACACAAGCAAATACCATATCCCTGGCAATAATGTATCACTCTATAAGCGCACAGGAAAAGGTCCAGAAAGATAGCATTACATTACACCAGTGGCTTCCTCTAGAAAGGGGGGTGATGGTGAGCCCTGATTTAAAAACAAAACAAAACAACACCCCTCATATTTCATTATGCATATTTCAAAATTTTATCTTGATCATGTATCACATTTGTAAATTTAAAAACAATGAAAGGGAAAAACCCTCTTGATGAATAAAGAGAACACAGTGTTCTTAATTTATTTAAGTTCTGTGCAAAGATGACGTTTTTGAAAGAAAGGTACGTTTGTGATCGAAGCTAGTAGAATGTTCTATTGTACCCGGGTTCTTGTTTTAAAAGACAGAAGTCAGGAATTTAGGAACGTTTCTCTTAATACAAAATTGGAAAGAAGATTCCTCCCCACTGGTTCTTGTGTTTGCCCCGCGGGATGGTTACAGACACGATCCAGGGTCCGTGTGCCACGTTGGAACCTCCCCCTTCACAAGGAGGGAGGAATCGAGTGAGCGGGTGTAAACTTCGATAAGCGCGCACGCATGAGACGGGTATGGACTAGCTGTCAATTCTCCCACCGAGAGGATTTGTAGTGTGGGTGTGTTTTCTAAAACGGAGAAGCCCTGTGGGCCAGCGATCTTCTTTCTCAATTGAATTTGTATGTGCACGCGCGCGCGCGCGCACACAAACACACACACACACACACCCACACACACACCCCTACCTGCCACCCTCAAAAGGAAAGACCACTCTCTCATTCATTCTCAATCTCAGGAGAGAAAACCTAGAGTACAGATAAACGCCGTGAAATATGGGGACAGTTGTTGAAATTAAATGTCTCTGGCGGCTGGGGAATAAATGGTTGTGCAGTCGGGTCGTTCGGTTCCAGTTCTTTTCAAACAACTGATCCAAAAGAATTATCAGTCGAGAGAAGATTAAAGAGGAATTTTGGCAAGAGAGCCGTATGAGATTTTAGGCAAGTATCTAGATAATAGTGTCAAGAACTGAGTCACGTTTCAGTAACAAAACCCGTTCCTTTCTCGCCTATTTGTCTCTTGTGAATAACACTTCTCATTTCTGATATTTATAAAAATGAGAAAGAAATAGAATTGATCTGGAACCTTTCTTACTTTAGCAATAAATAATATTTATTAATAAATACATGAAGTGTTGGAAATATTATACTTGTAATCTCTCATATTCATCAAACGTTGGCATATATGCGCACTATGTTGATCCACTGCCTATTTCTGTATATTACTAATAATTGTAATGATAACTCAATCCAAAAGCTCTTAACATCTAGAAACTTATGGTTATTGGACATTAAAAATTAAATTTAGATCTTCATACATACTTTTGTCATAGTAAATTATGACAGAGTGGCCAATAAAAGGCTTTCATGCATAGAAATATAACACATAAGGATAAAACTCGGTAGGGTTACTGGAATGAAAATATAAATTCAAGAAGAAAAAGAAACCATGTAAAATTGTTTAAGGACTTGTTCATGTGTTTAATAGATGCTCTATTAAATTTTCTGGTATTTAAAGTTCATTAGACACATTAAAGAAATAATGTATCTTTAATGTCACTATTTACTACATTCTGAAAATGGCATCACTGGCAACTGTTTTAAAATTATGTTGAAAATTTTAGATGGCAACTTAAAACATGCCAGGGGCAGGCATGCTTTCTTAAAAATATATACATTCTTATTGATTTCAGAGAGGAAGGGAGAGGGAGAGAGAGAGAGAGATAAACATCAATGATGAGCGAGAATCACTGATCAGCTGCCTCTTGCATGGCCCACACTGGGGATCAAGCCCGCAACCTGGGCATGGCCGGCGTGGCTCAGTGGTTGAGCGTCCACCTATGAACCAGGAAGTCACAGTTCAATTCCCAGTCAGGGCACATGCCGGGGTTGTGGGCTTAATTTCCAGTAGCGGGTGTGCAGGAGGCAGCCGATCCATGATCCTCTCTCATCATTGATGTTTCTAACTCCCTCCCTCTCCCTTCCTCTCTGAAACCAATAAAACTAATTAAAATACACACATGTATATACAGGTCAAGTCTTACGATGTTTAAATTTCGGTGGGGTCACTTTCTGCTCTCCACCCTGATGCACACAGGCTGTGTGTGGGTGGCCTGGGAGAACTCTGTTTCCCCAGTTTGTGGGTGGATGCCTGGGGGGTGTATTCAGCGCAGTGCCTGTCTGACTTACACCTACAGCGTGTGTGTGTGTGTGTGTGTGTGTGTGTGTGTGTGTGGTGCAGTCACAAACGCACGTCTGTCCGTGGCTTCACCCAGTTACGGGAATTCCGTGGATGCCACCTTCACACAGGGACCGAGGCTGTCTGCAGCGACATCAGACTCCTGACTGAATGAGGCAGACCTGCTTGCCTTCTGTGCGCTCTCTTCCTTCTCTGAACAAAGTAGGGCCAAGTACTGTAGACGCAGGGGAGACCTCAGCGCCAGGTCTCAGAGATGCCGGGGACTCTGGAGGGAAGGGGGCGGAGGGGCCCACCAAGCCCTCACTATAGCCTGCTCCCTCTGAGCAGGGCTCTGTGGCAGCTTATGCAGAAGCAGCCCCTTAGCAGCGTCTCCGAGGAACGGCTGTCTCAGGCTGAGCCCGTAGGCCCAGGATTAGGCAAAACTCTTGGAGTCGCCCCAGAATGCAAAGAGTTTAGGAGCCAAGCGTGAGCCGTGAGGGCCTGGAGGATGAATCGCCCATTGTGATTGTCCCCAACTCACTCGCCTGGTGCCACCTCGGCCCGAGCAAGTTCTGGGACGGAGGCCCCGGGAGCGCATGCCTTTCATAGCGTCCTTTTGTCTTCCTGTTCAAGTCCTGTCTAAGTGCTGGCGCTCATTCGAGACCTCACTGTCCCCTTCGGCCCCGAGCAGTATAATCTTTATAGAGCAGACATTGCAAGTCAAAGGCGTGGTTGGAAAACAACTCGGCCCCATCTTCCTTTCGGAATGCCTAGACCAGGGGTCCTCAAACTTTTTAAACAGGGGGCCAGTTCACTGTCCCTCAGATCGTTGGAGGGTCGGACTATAGTTTAAAAAAAAAAAACTATGAACAAATTCCTATGCACACTGCACATATCTTATTTTGAAGTAAAAAAACAAAACGGGAACAAATACAGTATTTGTATTTGCATGTGGCCCGCGGGCCATAGTTTGAGGACCCCTGGCCTAGACCATGCCTCCTCCCTGCTCTCAAATCTCCTCATGAAAACCAACGCTTGAGATGATGTTAAAAGGGCTCGATTCACTGAACAAAGCTGCAGGGCTCAGCTCAGATGCACCATGGACCACACGGACCTGGACCGGTCCTCCCGCACCCCACGTGCTTGCTCAACACGACTGGGTAAAAGGCGGCGGGAGAATAAAGCCTCCTGGTGCTAAATCTAGATTTGCAATTAATCTGTACAACTCGGGTACTGACAGGTTTCAGTTTAGATTCAGGCTAATTTAACCAAAATAAAATATTCCCTTTGAAACCTCTGGGTGCCCCTCCCAGCGCCGGGAGAAGGCTGGGGTTCTGAGGCGCCCGGGTCCCACACAGCCCGCCTCTACAGCAGGCCCCAGGGCGCCGCTCTGCAGTGGAGCGTGTGAGCCAAGGGCAGTCTCGGATGAAAGGGAGGGAGGAGCTGTCCGTCCCTCTACGCAGCATCTGGCATCCCAGGCCATGCTGGGAGGCCTGCAGCTGCAGGTGGCTCCTTCTCTCTCCAGAAACAAGCCCTGGCTCTTGGCTCTCCCTTCAAGGTCAGACGGCGGGAGGACTGCTCTGCAGATGAACCCAGGAGAAAGTCTTAAATGCAAAGCCAGTAATCAGTTGCATGATCTTTTCAAAAGCATTCCTACTCTTTTTTAAAATATATATGTATATATTTCAGAGAGGAAGGGAGAGGGAGAGAGAAAGAGTCATCAATGATGAGAGAGAATCTCTGATTGGCTGCCTCCTGCACGTCCCACACTGGGAATCGAGCCCACAACCTGGGCATGTGCCCTGACTGGGAATGGAACCATGACCTCCTCGTTCAACCACTGAGCCACGCCTTCCTACTCTTACTAATATACACATTCACGTCTCCAAGGGCGCAGAAGGCAAATCAGAGCAGGTCACGTGTGATCTTGTTCCCAGGGTAACAGAACTGGGAGAA